AGATCTCTTTACAAAGGGATTGTCTCGGGGCAGAGTAGATTATATTTGTGACAAGCTGGGACTATATGACATATACTCTCCAGCTTGAGGGGGAGTGTTAGAGTACACAAAACAGGGGTATTTTGGTCATTTGGGTTTATCTATTTGAGAGTGAAAGGTCTGTTTTATTTAAGTTTTAAATTATGTGTCCCATCACTTATGAGGGACAATATGGTCTTTCTTGTAACTATGTTATTGGAGATAAATTCAAGTGGGTCGACTAGAGAGAGGACTGATTTTCCTCTACTGGCCGAACCCTTCTTCTCCTCTTCTTCTTCTTCTTCTTCTCCTTCTTCTCTACTGTAACCTAGGACTAAATAAGGTTTTCACAATCAAGAGCCATGTTTTCTGTTAAGATGTAAATCATTAAACCATTTTTTTAACGTTTCATGTTTTCTTTGGTCTTTAGAGCCTTCTACTTGCACCAGTTCACTCCTCACTGGTGCAGCACCAAAATACATATAATAATTAAATATCTTCTATTATCTAAAGCTAATACTCAAGAAGGTATGAATAGGCACTGAATTCATGATAAAAGTTAAAGGTTTTAAATGCTTCAAAAAACATGACATTACTTGGGTTTTAACTTTTAAGTGGATTCAAGGCAGAAACTAAATCCTTTATCTCCACTTTTCTTTTTTTTTTTTTTTTGTTCTTGTAGTGAGAGTTTTCAGTAGAATAATAATTGAAGTGGAAAACCTAAGATTCATTTGAAGGATTCAGGGTGGTTAATAGGGGATTTGCAATTGCCCGTCTCCAGTTTGCTGATGCTATGACCATATTTGTGGGGGCTAAAGGAGAGGCAAGTACATGTGATGAAATTTCCTTAAGAGAATATGAAGCATCATTAGAATTGAAAATTAACCTCAACATGAATATGGCAGTTGATGTAGTGATGTAAGACGAGGGTAGAATTGACTAGTGTGTGAGGATCATAGGGTCTGGACTTCATTCAAGATGATGAAGATGAGTTTTTGATGGGGTACCACCTAATTGTAGACCATACAGGATTCATCCGAAAATGGAGGATGTTTTGGAGGACGTAGGTGACAGATGGGGAGGGGAATGAGGGGGGGAGGTTTATGGAGGTGCTGAGGAAGGGCATGAAGAAGAGGGGCTTCCAAGGGTTGAAGCTTTGTGTGGTTGGTAATTCTGACTAGTATCCTCATGCAGGATCATTTAAAATGTAGAGATATATATATATTTAGTATGGAGGAAGATATTTTGCACCTTTTTTTGACTGTTCTTCTACAAAGTTCCTGTGGGATTACTTCTTTCAGCTTTTTAGAACAAAGTTATGGGGTCCTTATTCCCCCAAAGAATTTCTCTTGTTGGTCAGTTCTTTAAGGGAGCAAAAGAGCAAAAATCTCTTGGTGTTGTGTTCCACCATTTGCAATCTGCTGGGAGGTTTGGAATGAAAGGAACAAAGAATCTTTGATGGAAAGGAATGCTTGTATCCTTGAGGGTAAATGTTAGAGAATATAACCTATTCAAGAACCTCACTTAACAGCTTAATCTTTTAGGCTGAATGGTTCTTTGAGATGGTATCAGAGCCACTTTGATCAAGTGGTCTAGTGTTCGATTCTCGTCACCCCCATTATAATTAATTAAGTTTCAGCACAAGGTATGGGTGGGCCTGTGCTGTCCACACTTCAAGCCCAATGGGCTTTCATGTGAGGGGACATTTTAGAGAACAAAACCTATTCAAGAACCTCACTTAACAACTTAGTCTTTTAGGTTGAATGGTTCTTTGAGAAAATGAGAAGCTATGAAGCTACCATTGAAAGTATTGCAATAAGAGTGGCACATTGGGTCAAGTCAAGACTATGGATTAATTTTACAGACTACACAATGGATGAAATTCTTAGAAATTGGGGTGCAATAATAGATAATGAGCTGGTCTCCACAGGAGAGGGGTTTTTAAAACTAAATTTTAGTGGGAGTAGCATTGGTAACCCAGGGCCTTCCGGAATGGTTTCATACTTGCCATCTTTTCTGGACTAATAGGGGAAGGAGATTCAGTTAGAACAGAACTCATGACAGCAGCTTTTGGGGTGTCAGAGGCAAGGGAATCAGGGATTGTAAGATTAATAATCGAAGGAGATCAAAATTTGTGATAATCTGGTTGATGAAGGAAAGTAATGCACTATGGAGTTTTAATAACAAGATCAAAAGGTTCCAATGGTTCTCAAAGGACATGCAGCTAATAATACAATCGGTTCTAAGATCAGGCAAAGGATTAGCTGATTGTCTTGCTAAACAAGGGGTAAATGGGAGGTGTTGTGAGGATTATTTAATTGTTATTTACAGTTGCTGTTAGTGTGCTGTCAGCCAGTTAGTTTCTTTCTTTCTTATTAGCTTGTTACTAGGGAGTGCCACCAGGGACATACTTGTAATTTCTCATTCATTTATATTAAGTTAATGTAAATAAACAAACTGGCAGCCGCCAGCTATAGTTTGAGACTCTCAATCGTATCTTCCTCTTCTCCTCTCTTCTCTTTTCTCTTCTCTCTCTCTCGTCCCTCTCTCTCCATGAATGATTACAGGAGGCAGCTATTCTGAGCTCAATTATAAAGTGAAAGATCTGAATGCTTCAGGTGAGATTGTAATTTCTGTGGGGAGTGGCAAGGCTTGATTGCCTTCAGCCTTGTTTGTAACGCTGTATATTCTTTATTTATATTAATAAATTTTTTGTTCCTTTGTTGTCAATCAAAAAGGCAAAGAAAAGCTTTGTGCAGAGATTGGAAACCTGTTGTGATTTTACCAGAATTTTTTGTCAGCCTTTTAGTTGGAAGATGGGAGTGTTGTTTTGTATTGACAGTTTTTTGTTTTTTTTTTTAAGTTGGATGATCTATCATCTACCTGAAGAATGGTAATAATTGTAATAATTAACAGGTCCATTTCTTTAGAGTTGGTGGTTACTCAGGAGGTTCAGATAGCTAAGAAGTTGGTCCTGTTCTTGGGTTAGGAAACTACAAATCCAAACTTAGGCATCTGGAAGTAGTGGACACAACAAGAACAGTTGGAGAGTGGATGTAGCATGGTGGGTGAGGAGGTTTGTAGCAAAGATAGGACTGCCAGTGGGGTGGCTAATCTAAAGCCCAGATGGTGATGTAGGAAGAAGGCTATGAGGGTATTCTGACTTTGTTTTTACTTTTTGGAAGTATAGCGAGATGAGGCAGGTGCTTTTTTGTATGTGACCACGCTGGCTATTTTGTTATGTTGAGGCCTTGAAGTTCTTGTTTCACCTGTTCCATGTTTCAATTTTCCTTTTCTTGAATAGAATTTGTATTTATTATCAAAAAAGGATCCTAGGATCTATGGTAGGATCTCTTCCTTTTATACGAGGGAGTTATTTGCTCATATTTCTATTAAAAAAGGTTGAGGAAAAAAATAGAAAAGGTTTGTTAAGACAGTCTAGCAGATGTACAATCTGCAGGATCAGTTGGATCATATGGCTGCAACGAACAAGATGACAGTGAAAATGTAACTGGTTAATGTCTTATCAACTGTTTCACAGAGTCATGCATGCAGAATTGTGAATCAGTGAATCTGTTTGAGATCCTAACTACAAAGATAAATACATGCCTATAGAGCTAAATCTGAATAAATCTGTTCAAATTGAAATGACATGTGTAGCAATAGAACTTTTGTATGAATAGTCACCTTGTAATAAACTGCCATGCCTTTTGGCTGGAACTTCCCTGATGCTTTAATTGGACCAACATGTGTTATGAATTACACTGACCTAAGACCCCACATAGCTGGGACCAACATTGGGTAATGGCCTTTTTTTCTCCATGATATTTGGACAGTTTCCTTTTTGTAGATCCTCAATTCAATTAATGATCATTTAGAGCTTATGATGCAGAGATATTTACCCCTCCTGCAGGTAAAGTCATATTATGGGATTTCAAGGAACCTTCTTATTAAGTTCAAAGATGACACAATTGATGAAACCTCAACATTAGCACAGATGCTAAGTTCAGATTCTGCCATTAGTTCTCTACTGGATATGTCAATTCGTTCATTGCCCGGAGATCATGGGCTTCCTTTGAAACAGGTGAATCTGGCACCCATTAGTTTAGTTCAATAACCCTTTTCCCTCATCATTAACGAAAACAATGAGAACTCAACTGATTCTAGTGTGAAGAAAAAGAGGAGCAGTAAGCTCATTTATGCACAGTTCCCATGATATATTTGTAATCTATTGATACAAGGAAACAAACTAGAACCAATTAACATTTTTGCAGGCTCTCCCAGATGTTCCACCAGCAATGGCAGATGCAGTAAACCGTGGAGGTGAGTTTCTAGCAAACCTGACTGCAGGTACAGCATGGGAAATGGTGGCCAAAGAAGTAGGCAATACATTGGGCGTTGACTCAACAACCCTGAGGGCAGAGATTTCAAAGGACATAGACCTGCTGGTGGATGTGATCACATCTTGGATGGTATCAAACTCAGGTCGCAGACTTTTGAGATCATAAGATTAAATTACAAGGCAGCAATGTATAACTGAACAAGGTCAATTGGGGTAAAGTTAAAGAGACAAGGAAGCATCTCTGTAGAAAGATATAGTGCAAATACCAATCTCAAGGCGCTGATCATGTCTTTACTTTATTCTATTGCTAGTTTTTTTAGGCTATTTTACTGCTAGTTATTTGTCACATACAGAGCCTGTCAACATAAATAAGAAAACTTCTCAGATTGTTTCTTCATATTACAATTTACAAGGCCAAACACAAATTTGATAAGTAGTGCACGATGTTTTTACACCTTCCAAATGAGAAAAGATAAAAAATGGTAATTGTCTATTATTTATTTATTTTTGATAGGTACAATCCGAAGTATGTTGCATGCAAGTATGTTGTACCCCTACTTCTCAAACCCCAATTTCCCTGGTCTCTCTGTCTCTCCTTTAACCTTGATCAAATCTGCCAACTAAAGCATTAAAAGGCAAAGGGTGTAGTTGAGATATAATGGCTCAAAAAGGTGAGGCATAAGCCTTAAGGGGTAGAAAGGCATAAACTTAAAAAAAATTTAAAAATATTTAAAGTTTATAAATAATAAAGAACAAATAATAAATTAAGATGGAATGATAGAATTGCTCAACTACGGTCATAGCCCTTTGATTTTCCATATGGAGGAGAATATAGTTGAAACATGAAAATCCTAAGCCTTTTTAGGTTCCACCGAATGTGGACCTATCATCATATTTTTCTTGATATAGTTGGGGAGAATTAGTGGCAGCTATCTCCTTGGTTAGACCTTTTCTAAAACTTCATAGATTGAAAACATGGAGCTAAGAAGCTTTTGGTGATATTCATAGTATTAATGATCACAATAGATTGGTGTTGGGTGTTTATAAGGAGTTGCATGAACCTTGAAGTTGGAAGAAGTGTTATGGAGGCAAAAATCTAAGTATAAAATGGTTGAAGGAAGGAGTTTGTAACACCAAGTTTTTTCACGTCCATCAAATTGGGAAGTGACTATTGAGTAAGAACTAATTTCAAAGTTGGTGATAGAGATCAATAAATTAACATTTGAACTTTGAATAATTGATGGCATTATGCAGTCCATGGCTCTAAAGAATGAACTTGTGCAGATGAGATTCATTGATTAACAGGAAAGGGTTTGAAATCATCCACATGTTGTAGAGGCAGTTTAAACATCATTCGGTCAAACATACAAACACCAATGGCGATTACCAAAAAAAGAAACACCATTGGCTACCATTGATGACTCTGTCAAGAGAGACGAGACTAATGTTGCATTTGGATTTCCTTATTTTAAGGACTTATCTCCTTCTTGCTGTTAAAATTCCCCTATGAACCTTGAATTTTTAACGGCAAAAATGAGATAATTAAGTCTGTGAATAAACCCTAATTGTTTCTAGGTCAAAGTAGAGAAGAAGAAAGAAGAAAGAAAAGAGAAAGAAGAAGAAGAAGGAGAGGAGAAAAGTATTCGGCCAGAC